CAAGGAGATAAAAATGAGACAGAGATGGTGGCTCATGTACGAACAAACATAGAAGATCTGTTGGAATTTCCAGGAAACTGCAATAATCTCACTCACAAAAGAATGTTTCTTAAATAATACTTAGACAGCAAAAAGTAAAGTTGCCTTGAACAGCACACTGAACTGAATTAATTTACTCATCCGATGCCTTTAGAAAAATCACCTTAGGAAAGTTTCACTGACTACTTCGTTCTGGTTTTCAGGAAACAAATCATCAAAAAATCTGGATGAGAATAAACCCAGAATGAGCTATTATTAGACTTCTTTTTTTCTTCTTTCTGAAGCAGCACCAGAATTATGATACTAGTTGGTTTAGAATATAAACTCATTTCAGGTAGTTAACCAACATTCAGTTACAGATTTTTTTTATAAATGACAGTATTTTACACTGACTCCATGGAACATAGCAGTTCTGCATGTTACTAACATCGATCATTTTTGATGTTTGAAGTTAATTGGCTCTTAGCTTGAAGTGTCTTCCTTTTTATGGAATCGAGTTCACATAATCTATAGTTCAAAGAAACTTCATCTTTCTGGAGCATAAGCTGTTCTGCTTTTTTTATAAACTCAGCCAACATTATACTAAATCTTACATATTTCCCTATCAAAGAGGACTTTAGAGAATCTTCACACAAAAATGGGAATCTCTTATGCTGGCCGGCAGTTCAGATCACGTTTTCTTCCAGCCACATCACTCCTGATTAATGATTCTCCGACCGCTCTGTGAAGTAGCTCCTCAACTAGCATTAATTTTAGCTTGCCTTCACATACAAGAGTGTCATCTGCTGTGGTCTGGACAGGAAAAGTGGTAACTTCTTGGTTGTTCTGACTTAATCTATGACTAATGGTTCTATAACCTCAGTATTTATTATTGTGTTTTTGTTCAGTGTCAAGAAAATTCTTAGTTCTTAACAAATAATGCAAACCAGTTTGAAAGAGTTTGTACTGGTAGGTTATAACTAAATTAAATTGGTTTGATTCAGTATCATGGAGTCATATAAATTACAAATACGCTGCACAACAGAGAGCCTGTTAGAGTAGAAAGCATCTTGCACAGCCTCAGAGCAAATCAAGAGCTTCAGAAAAATTTTCCTAATTTGGACAGTCCTGCAAATCTTTTACGAAAACAAAAGATGGCAGTAAGAATTCAAACAGTCTTCTACTAGGTACATTTTATAGCAATAGTTTTATACTTTTTACATGTTTGAAAACAATCATAATTTCCTTGTATAAACATGGAACTCCACAGCTACAAGCAGAATTAGATTTCCAATATTAAATTAAATAATTGCATTGTAATAATTAAGACTCTTCAAATGTATTTACACCTGCATGTACTGAGTTTCAGCTACAACGTCACAAAATTAAAACACTGAGCTTTGTGCAAGCAAAACAAGTTACAATTGTAAACTAAGGCATATTGCATATGAAGCATTAAGGTATATCAAATGATATCTTCTATGGGATACAGGTAATATAATTACAACCAAACATTATTAAAATTGGACAGCTTTCTGTGAAAATAAATTTCAATGGCATTTCAAAACCAAATTCAGTTGATGTATAAATACTTACAACTTTTAGAAACACAATACATACTAATGTGTATATATAAATAAGTATATATGTACACATCTCTATTTAGGCATACATAAATAATTATGTAATTCTATATATGAATCTATATGTGTATACATATAGATATACATATAGATATACATATATAGGAACACATTTGTCAGGAATTTATTTCCAGAAAAGTAGTGATTGTTTTTGAGAGCTTCTTTCCTTCTCATCTGGCAGACTACTGAAATAATTAAGCAGTATTAAGATGAAAAATTAACAGTCTACAGAATATACAAAGGACAGCTACAGACAAAACATTGACTTCAGGAGCTGGGATTCCAAATCTAATCATGCAATGATTAGATGCAATGGACAATTTTTAAAATTTTTATTATTCACTTTGCCTTAAAGATCAAATACAATTTAAATGTCTCATTTTTCAAGTACTATCAACAACAAGTCTGTTGTGCATTTTTCATAACTTCTACTACCTGAATGCCATCATTCTGTATTTATTCCTTCCACTGAACAGATAATGTTTGAATCAAAGTTATCTGTTATCTTTGATTCAAATTTTGTCTGTTCGGTGGAAGGAATTCAAATTGCATCCTCTTTTTTTGCAGGAATACGGATAACAATACTGTTCCAAAATAATCTGCATACTTTACAATGCTAAATAAACTTTCATTTATTCTTCTAAAATGACACATTTCCTCAACACTTTCTTGTTCATCTTATACACTTGGGAGAATATCACCACAGACTGCTAATATTTACCCAAGCATAGAAAACCTGTGTTCGGCTTTGTATGGTGCTTAAAACCTTGATGATCCACTGTGGAGTTCAGTAGGAAATGATGCATAATATGACCCTTTCAAAGTATAAAAAAACCCCCATGCTTTCAAACAAACTTGAGGAAGTTAGATTATTCTGTACTTTGCTTACTAACACTAAAATCTTAAAAGGTATTAAGCACACAAAATTCTCGGAAAAATGAAATACATATTACAGAATCACAGAACGGTAGGGGTTGGAAGGGACCTCTGTGGGTCATCTAGTCCAAGTCCCCTGCCGAAGCAGGGTCACCTACAGCAGGCTGCACAGGAACTTGTCCAGGCGGGTCTTGAATATCTCCAGAGAAGGAGACTCCACAACCTCCCTGGGCAGCCTGTGCCAGGGCTCCGTCACCCTCAGAGGGAAGAAATTCTTCCTCATGTTCAGACCTCCCTCAGCCTCTCCATCTCCTCAGATGTTCCAGTCGCCTCACCATCCTTGTAGCCCTCCGCTGGACTCTCTCCAGTAGCTCTTCATCTTTCTTGAACTGGGGAGCCCAGAACTCGACACAGTACTCTAGATGGGGCCTCACGAGGGCAGTGTAGAGGGGAAGGAGAACCTCCCTCGTCCTGCTGGCCACACTCTTCTTGATGCACCCCAGAATGCCATTGGCCTTCTTGGCAGCCAGGGCACATTGTTGGCTCATGGTTAACCTGTCGTCCACCAGGACACCCAGGTCCCTCTCCGCAGAGCTGCTCTCCAGCAAGTCCGCCCTAAGCCTGTACTGATGCATGGGGCTGTTCCTCCCCAGGTGCAGGACCCTGCACTTGCCCTTGTTGAACCTCATCAGGTTCCTCTCTGCCCAGCTCTTCAGCCTGTCCAGGTCACGCTGAATGGCAGCACAGCCTGCTGGTGTATCCACCACACCTCCCAGTTTGGTGTCATCAGAAAACTTGCTGAGGGTACACTCTAACTCTTCATCCAGGTCGTTGATGAAGAAGTTGAACAAGGCTTGGCCCAGTACTGACCCTTGGGGGACACCACTAGTTACTGGCCTCCAACTAGACTCAGTGCCGCTGATGACAACACTCTGAGTTCTGCCATTCAGTCAGTTCTCAATCCACCTCACTGACCACTCATCCAGCCCACACTTCCTCAGCTTCCCTAGGAGCATATTATGGGAGACTGTGTAGACTATTAGGTAATAAACACCTGATATTTTAAAATATGTGACTACTATTTACTTTACGTGTAACTACTACTCACTTTGTAATTTATAAAAAATAATGAAATATCTAAAACATAGTTAATTGTGCAACTACCCTGTCCTTAAAGTCATGCTCCCTTTTAAGCTCAGAATGCCACTATGTATTTTTAAATTTGGAATCCCTAAATTATCTTAAAAAAAACCCAAAAAGTATTTTATTGAGTACTGTAATACAGTGCTAAATATGAGTGATGAATGTATAGTTTAAGTGTACATTTTTTTTGACTAATGATGTACTGGAAACAATAATGACCATGTACACTAAAACCATTAAGCACTTATTAAGATTAGTTACTCTGCAGAGAAAAATTTATTATCCCGCTAAAACCCACCCTGCAATAGTATACACAAGTTTACAGGTAATTATGATTATCCCAACATGCTTTATCCCTAATTCACAACCAATTTATTGGTTAACTTTTACTTTTTTAGAATAGACTAATACCTAACAAGGAATTATTTTTTAGCTTAATTGAATCACCATACGTAAACTCATTGCAAGATTCTAAAATTAATGATTGTTAGTAAATGTTCAGAACGTATCTTTAAAAAGTGACATATTTTCCAGGGCATATGAACTCCAAAGAACTGTTTCAAAAATGTTGCAATTAAATTAATCAAATTCAATTTAGTTCAACTGAATAAATTCAATTTAATGAAATCAATGGAATGAGCTCAATAAATGCAATTAATAATTTAATAAACTTGAATAACTTAATAGTATTTCCATTAATAAGCTGAATAAAAGTGTAACAGACTATTTTTTATACAGAATTGCAAAAAAGATCTGCATCTGTAAAAACAGACACAAAAATTTTTATCCAAATTAGTCTCCGACTTAAATTTTTTCTCTGCATAGCACCGGAAGCAGATAATAAATCAAATTAAATTCCTAAACTTTACAATGAAAGATATCAGTAAATGCATACAGTCTTTATAGCATTAATGTGTCATAAAATGATAAAATTTAGTTCCATTTTACAGATGAAGAAAGCAATGAAGCCAACTTACAGCCCAGCCTTATAATTTGAGTTTGTCTGCTGCCTTCCTTATCTCTAATATACATAATTAACTTCCTTATCTCTAATAACATAATTAGCTATTTTGATATAAAATTCTATTGATTTTCTGCTATTGCTCCATTGGCAGTTTTCAGTACATTTCCTGCTCTTGTACGGGCAGCGATTTAATTGCTATTTACATGCTTCAGTCACCATCATGTTGAATGAGAAAGCTTATGGTTCCCAGCATTACTTCAGGGCATTTGCCAATCCAAGGATTCAACAACTCAAGTACTTACACATATTTACTCTTCGCTGAATTATTTTAAGAATAACAGAGACTACAAAACTATTTTTTAGAAGAAATTTAAAAACTAGGGTTTGAATTTCCTCTAAATTACAAGGTCTTTAACTTCACCAGACTTCTGTGTTCATGACCTACAAACCTTTATTTACAACCCTTCTCCAAGAGTTAGTAGCTGATAGTGTCTCATCGATGAAAACTTACAAATCATCCATTCTGAAGTAAATACACTGTCCTTTGGAGTGCCTTGTGGCCTTTTCTATCGGTTACTTATCTTATTTCATAATTGCTTATTCTAGAAAAGTAATTATCCTTGAAGGAAAAGGTCCGAGTAGAAGCAGGGAGTTTTTCTCCCTAATACTGCAAGCAAATACTGCCTGTTACATATGTGTGTGCCACACACACACACATATGCATAGCATATAGAGAGACAGACTGCCATGAGAAAAACAAGTATACCTTCTCTTTTCAGTGGCTGCATCTTCTGCATAATATAAGTAATCATTTTTAAAACTTTCACCTTCAGTCACTTCCATCTAGTACCCCTACTCTCTATACATATAAAATGAGAAAATTTAGACAGTGTTGATAAAATTGAGAAAACAAAGTATTTTCAGTTAACACTGACATCAGTAGCGCAGTTTCAAAAATTCCCCAAACAATGCAACAGGGCATCTGAAAACTATTTATGTTGTTTTTAATGATTCTCTGTTATTTTGTTACTCACGGCAAATCTTCCAATCTGGAGGCCTCATGCCTTGGGTCCAGCAGATCATAACCACATTCATTGTAGATTTCTAAGTAGGACACATGAGTTGTATACACTTTACTGCTATCCTGGGTAAGCAAAGAAAAGAAAAATAGAAAAAAGGAGAGCTATAAAGAGAAGTCAGAGCTAAATCAGAGGACAACTGTATCACTACAGCTTCTATGTTGCTTCCTCACTCTGTCTCTTTTTCTTTGCCTGGGTATGGTTTACATTTTTAATTCATGATATTTCTATACTTTCTGTTACCATATGCATAAAGGGTCAAGAAGAAAAAAGAAAAAAAAACAAACAAAAAATCCTATGAAAGCAACGCATGCAAAAAAACCCTCAAATCGACAATACCCCTAAGACTCATCATGCCCCTGAGTTTAGTCTGGGGTTTTTTATTGGGTCCTTATACCTAGCAAAGGTACCTCTGTGTACACTTAGAACAGGGCAGCCTACTTACAGAACCATGCCATATGCCATTTTTTCAGTTCTACGACAAAAAGGAATGTCATTATAAGGAGGTAAACCCTGATATTATGGATGGAAAGACTATGCTTAAAAAAAACAAACAAGGAACAAGAACAACAACAAGAAAATAATCAAAGATTTACTTCATTTAGAAACATCAGCAACATACTCCTTTCCACTCTCTATATCCTAACATGTAAGCACTATATATGATATTGGCTGTTGTCTGTAATCCTCATTTTTCTCTATAATACATTGCCAAAATGTAACTTAACGCAATTGGTTTTTGCAGACAGAATTTTCTCCTGCCCCAAAGCCAAATCCTCAGAATAATGGGCTATGATTTCAAAAATAAAAGAAAATTAGTCACTTCTTTTCAGCAGATGAAGCCACTGTGAAAGCACTCACATCGCACTCACAGTAGCAGTTTAATAATCCAATCCACTACATTTGTTTTGCAAAATACTTTGAGATATGAACTTTTTGCTTTCATTGAATAGTTATTTCCCATGTTTTTTTTATTGATAATCACAGTTCACTATTATAAGAGACACCTTCTAGAAAGACACACTACAGATGGATGGAAAATATGTAGTAAGGAACTGTTCAAACAGGAAGCTGTGGAAATAGTAGAATTTCTGAACAATAAATTGAAAGGAGATGTTATTAAAAATAAAGGGCTTGATTTGTTTCTCATTTTGAGTAAAAAGTTTTGTTTCCTTGGTTTCACATTGCACTGTCTCAGAAAAGCATTAAGAAATTCAGAAATACTATAAGATGAGGAAAAAGGGAAGAGACAGAGTAATCATATAACTATTTCAAGTATTTACTACTGTCCAAATTTTTGGTAAAGCCAAATCAATATTTATATGGGTGTAGTGACTATTTCTCCACTAGAAGGTTCAGATATAAAGCACATGCAAAACTGGTTTTCAGAATAATTTACTACCTTTGAAAGTGTTTTTCTAGCCACTGTTAACTAGTGTTTAGATACTGATACTGTTTTAAAAATAGATCACAGGATTTTAAAATTATTTTTTCTTAATTTTGGAAAGAATGCATTAGGAATAGTTAATAACAGCCATAATAATAATAATAATAATAATAGTAATAAAATGTGACATTTTACTATTTGCATCTTTACCTATTCATATTTTATACACATGTAATCAAGAAATTTGCCTAACAATGTTTCTATCCAACTATATTCAGCAAATCAGACTTTTATTACTAATACCACGTACCCATAAAAACATTCCATACAAGTGCATAATTGGTGTTAAAAGGAAAACAGTAGAGAAGAAAAACAAATACGGATATCTATTTTCTTTCAAACAGTTAAAGGATTTGCATTACTGACTTTAAAAATTGCTTTTCATCAGAATTAGATGTATTTAGCATTATCATTCTGTAATATATTCTAGCTAATAAGTAACATTAGGTAAAATAGCTGGATATTTTAAAATGTTTCATATTAATTTCACTATTTTATGGCTTTTTGTTCTGTAATATATTCTAGCTAATAAGTAACATTAGGTAAAATAGCTGGATATTTTAAAATGTTTCATATTAATTTCACTATTTTATGGCTTGGTGTTTTCTTTGATCGTTAGTCACGCAGAAAGAAATTAGGAAACTTGTGAAGAGTGAAAGTAATGTTCTATCTTTCACACAGCCTTGTTGGTTTACATAGGAATTGGAGCAATTTTTGTACAAGATGCATGTGATGCAATACATACAGTACAAAACCAGAAGGGAGCTAATATAAGTGTTAAGACAAGGAAAACCAGTCACATGATCTGAATGTATGTTGCACCAAATAATAATTTTTAAAGCTCAAACAATGTCCATTATTTTCAGTCTACCGCAATAAATCAGGTAACCTAAATAATTAGCAATGTATTCTTGCAAAAGGTCTCATGTCAAGTTAGACATTACCTTCAGCATTAATTTTAGGGCTTCCTCTAACACTATTATTAAGTCAGCCTTTTGCAATATAGTTAAGCATTTGTAAATCAGCCATTAAAAATAAACAGAAAACAATATCCCATACCTTCTGCAACTGATCAAAAATATAAGATAGAGTCCTGGGAATGATGCCTCGATCACTGTAACGTTCTGCTCCTCCTGTGATGGTAAAAGTTTTGCCACTACCTGTCTGACCATATGCAAAGACAGTACCATTGTATCCCGCCAAAACACTATAGAAGTAAAAAAAAGGGGAGCTAATTAATATATAAAGCACAACATCTTTTCCATGATGAACTTTGTACAGAACCAAAATATAATTAACAGTTATTCTTAATTACATAGCAGCCATCTTCAGTAATACAAGAATACACTTCAAGATATGTATTCTAGATTCAACAGAATTTATCTAGAACTGAAAGACTTTATGATGCCTTGACTTACCCCATTATTCAATATCATCATTAGTTGATCATATTTATTACTATTTACATTACCTTTGTATACTTTTTTCTTTGACAGTTTCTTGCAAGGATGATACTTAGTCGCTTAAAAGACTGTAGATGTCAGTAATTGTGACCATTAATACATTACAGCTAAAGAATCTAGAAATACTTCACATACAGCATTGTTAATTGAAACCAGAAAAGACTATATCGTGTTTAGAAACTCATGCAAGGATGCAGTCATACTAGGGGTCTTTTTATATTCTGAGAATGCTACTCAGCTATCAAACTGCTCCTAGCTTGGATAAGGGTATGCAGGAGAACCTGTGCTTATAAAATCTTCATTTACTTTGAAAACACTATACCACACTGGTAAAAACAAACATTTCTGTTAGAACTGTGTCTGTACACAGCTATGCAATGGCATAGCTTGAAATGACAGTCAGACTCAATCATCTTTTTTCACACCTCTGACTTGCAGAAGTACTTAACAACAGTCTAGTTCTAGTATCTTTCTCTAATTCACCACACTCTCCCCATTAGCTTCTACCTGATTTTCACCAAACAGTAGACAAGCTTAATGACAGTGGTACAGTTGCACACCCTGGAGAAAATGTGGGACTCAGCTGCAGCTAACATACAGCTCAACAGCCAAGGCTGACTAAATGGAATTTTCAAGTTCTGACTCAATATATTTCAAGACTTTTTGTCCTTATTTTCTTGTCAAGGAGAGGGCTTCTAATGCAGTGAACAAAAAGCAGTCCCCTAAATAATGGTGATCTAGATTGTACCACTGATAAAGTCAGTACAATTTGAGGGAACTATTTTTACCTGCAAATATAGCATTTGTTTTTTAAATATATATGGCAAAGTTTCTTGTACTATTTATGAAGACAGTCCTATTTTTCTCAAGTGAGAGCCTTTTGATGGGCTGATGTCTGGAACATAAACACAACATTTCATTTTTCCCTTGATAATAAAAGTAAAATTTCAGGTATCCAATGTTTAAAATTTCTACTGATACTCACAGTTGACTATTATGCATTTCCCTTGTAGACCCCAGCCTCAAAAGACAAAAATAATGAAAATCTATTTCCACATTTCTAATTCCATTATTGTGAACTGCTCTGAACTTGAAAAACATTTGAAGTGCTCTAAGATTTTATGATTCACACTGACAGGCTACAAATAATGAGGAAAAAATTACGGAGGACATAATTATTTTGAATATTCATTTGTCTGTAAAAGGGAAACCTGAATAAAATTATCACAGCCTATTAGAATCACAAATTAAATAGTGACAAAATCAGTTACTGACTGTAATATTCAGATGGCAAATCAAACCAGAACTCATGAGAGTCTATAGCTGACAGGATATATGATAAAGAAATCAAATTAGACTGTCAAGCTTTCTTCTTTCCTTTCAGCAGCTGTCAATTAGACAATGTTTCCACCCATCTCAAAACTGTTCTACCACAATTCCAGCATCTCCTGACAAAATATATGAAGGAAGTGTTTGCAAACAAATAAAGTAATCAAGAATTATTTTCTTGATGTACCTTATCAGAAGGAAAATCCACTTTGGATTTGATTTACTATGTTTAAGGACCTACTAATATTGCTAAAGAAAAAGAAAAGCTAAAATTATTCTTGTGCATTTTGTCTATTGAAAAAGTGGTAAATAAGCTAAGATATTAAAAAATAAGAAGGGGGCAAACAACCCTTGCATAAGAGGAACAGAAACATGTATAGATAGCTGCCGCTCTGGCGCCACAAGAGATGCAATGGTTCTCCGGCTTATTAAAGTTCATTTAAAGGCCTGAGTAGTTGCCAAACTGCTTATTTTAATCCATTACAGTAGGATGTCAGAGACAAAACCAGAAACATGTTGAAAGGAACTACAGTGAACATCTGCTCCCAGAGACCAAAATGCCCAAAGACAGAGTGTATATAGATTTTAAATTCCAGATGTTAAAAATCAAAACAATAATTGTTATAAAACACCTCATTTTTTTATCTTAGGAATTTCTAGCACCCACTATCACAGTATCTGAACGCCAAGACAGTAATGAGTTGTCAGAAGGTATGGGGTATCTAAAGAAGCTCAGAGATGGCACATTCAAAATAAGCAAGGGGAAATGAATCTTTATGCAAAATGTAGTTAAGCTGTGAAACTCCTTGCAATGAGATGGTTTAGATGCTAAAAGTTCACACAAGTTTCAGTAGTGACTGGACTAATTAATGAAAAAAAAAAAATCTCTTGGGGCTTCTAAACACAGAAATCGGAAAGCCCCTAAACTGCAAATGACTAGAGGCTAAGAGAATGTGTGTGGGAAGTAGCCCTAGCTGCTTACACTGTTTTGTTTTTTGGGTTTTTTTTTGGGTTCCCCCTCCCCCCGAGCATTGACTCTTAGTCCCTGCAAGAGATAACATACTGGGCTAGATGGAACTTTGGTCTGACCCAATACAGTTGCTCTTCTTTTTTTTACATCTCTGCTCATTGGCTTTGCTAGATCTAACATTTTGGGTTGTTTAGTTTTCTTACTCCCTCTCCTCTTTAAAGCTGTTAAAGGTATATATTTTCCATTACTGACATAGCTTCTGCAGAAAGGTGTGTTTTGCAATGTGTCTAAAAAAAGTGGTAAAGGCATGGCTGCAAACTATTAACTTGAGGTTCCTGTGCTTCACAAAAACCTCTTGATTAGGATCGCCACACATGTAAACATATATGCTGTCAAAATAGCTACAAAAGCCAGTGAGTTTTGTGTTATTTCATTCATACATTTCTTCTATTTATTGCAGTGCATCATCACAGCTCTGAACAGTTTTCCAGAAAACACTGAAAGCTCAGAAAATGCGATCATACAAATGTGAAGAATGTATTCTCACAGTCAATGTATTTGTAGGTAATATTGCATCACATTGATACACTATGAAAGCATTGGTTATTATACCCCAGTTGAGTTCCACTTGAAAATCCAAGATGAAAGCCAACCTTAATGATTCTGTGATTCTTTTTTATATATATGTGTATGTGTGTATTATATAGATAATATAGATAATAGCATCTTGTTCATATTTAATCGCATAATCGCATATATAGATATATAGATACATAGATAATCGCCTCTTGTCCATATTTACAGCACTTGTGTCTTTCATTCAGAGTATATTAAAACTAACAACCAAGCCAATTTAAGAAAAACCTGCTTGAGGTGCTAAGCAAGTCTGTAAGGCAAGAGGACTACCAATAATATCGGTGAAACTGCTGGTGAAGAGTTCTAAGAGTGAAGTGCAACCCTGTGAAGACAGGATGGAGAATAAATTTCCTTCCTCAGTCTAAGAAGAAAACCACCATTATAAGACAAGGGACTAAGAGTTCAAGCAGGACTGATGGAGATCCTCTGTCTTAAAAGCAAGCTGAGGACTATGATCTCACCTCCTGAAAAAGGGTATCTGGGAAGACACTGAAAAGGAACAGTCTCTACTGTATCCACTTGTTCACAAATAATTCAGCTTATGAACTAAATAGAACTAAAGTTTATTTGTACACATATATGTTTCAAAACTGAAGATGTGTAACAACTAATCTGCATATAATATTCTGAATATTAGTAAATGTCAATTTTGAAGGTATGTGATAAAGTCTACGTGGATAAGTCATATAAAATCCATGACTGATGTTACTAATTCACTCCTCTTTTAAGGAGCTTCTCTTGAAATCAATGGGAATACAGGATGTTTTAGCGATGAGGCTTCTGAAGAACCTATTTCCATAGCAAATACTTGCTAAAGATATATTTTGCTCTTTTTCCATCTCCAAGAACTTCAAGTCAAAAATAAATACCAAACTTTATCAATCTAATTTTAGTTCATTGTCCCAAGGTGTTTTACACTGAAATGGTAACAATACATGCAGGTGGACCAATACCTAATCAATCAGTAAATCAATTAAACCAGTATCTATTTACTAAATACTCAGGAAGTTTAAGATATGTACTCACCATTTTCAACCCAAGATGCACAATCCCTTTAGGAAAATAATAACATAGAAAGCTTCATAACCCTTTAGCTACCCATACAATGTTATTTAAAAAACAAACTACACTGCAGAATTGCCCTTTACAAAATGAAGGGTCTCTCAGATGCTAAGGGTTAGTATTGTGAGCAGAAAACAAAGGCATTGTCCCTTTCATCGCAAAAGGTAATTGCAACAGGCACCTAAAAAAGTTGGCAACACTACTTATGAGATGACAATCATAGAGTGTATTTTCTAGACAGTGTCCACCAAAAGGATCCTTGAAGATTCTCATCTGCAAATTAAAGCTGTCCCTAACAGCAGTGGGACTCGTTCTCTACTGGGAGAGGCAGCAGAGAATCAGCAGCTCTTTTCTGCCTGTTCTGCAAAATCCACTTTGCACAATGTCAGTTCACCCAGGCAAAGTCTGCATCTTTGCTCTTCAAATCCTCTGAACAAAAATCCCATACCTTTACTGAACTTGGTATTTGAAAGTACACAGGTTAACATGATTACTGACAATAGTCTTGTGAACACTAAAATATTCATACATAAAAATCATACACTAAGAGGATATTTTTAGTTATGCCCCCTCGCTGTTATCAAAATATCCAGAACTTTGCTTTTTTTTTTTTTTCTCCCACAAAGTTGAGTTTTGGCATGGTTAAGAAGACACTTTTTGAATAAATTGCCTCTTTACTACTTCAAACAAAACACATCAAAGACACATAATCTAAGGAGAGGCTTTGCTGAAAAGATCTTTCATGAA